CTCCTCTATAAACATCTGTAGTGGTTCTCTACAGTTCTCTGCTCCTCGGTTCTACCCATCGATCGGTGTCAGCTCCAGCTCTGTGGGGGGGGGGGGGGGGGGGGGGGTGGGGGGGGGGGGGGGGGGGGTCACAGGTCAGAGGCAACAGACAGCTCATGTCGTTTCAATGAGCACAGCAGAGAGTGATGAGTCCACTGTTTACCCGTCTATTGATCCAGTTTAGCCCAACTTGAGGCCCGAGGACTGGAGCAGCAGCTGATCCCTGGTCCCAGAACTGTATTCTAGCCTTCATGTCAGCTGAACCGGCTAAACAGTGGCTGTCTGGTCTAATCCACACGTTCACAAGCCATAGTCGCTCTGACTCGTCCCAATCACAGGGGAATTGATACTTTTGGTTTTTGGTTTTTTAATTCTAAATTCTGTTCTGAAATAAAAACCAGGACTTTCACCCAGGAGACCGGGGTTGTGTCCCGTGTGAAACCGTAACGTTAACGTTGACTTATTTGAAGTTCTGTACATAAGTTAAGTTACTTAACGTTATGTAACGTAGGTTACATATAACGTAACTTGTGTCATGTTCTTATTTTAATCCAAACCACGTTCTATTCCTCAACCTAACCCAGTGCTTCTGCTGCCTAATATAACCGTTTCCCTAAGAACACAGAAGTTTATTTTGAGATCGAGATTAATTTTTAACCAGAGAGTGACAGATCGAGATTGACTTTTAACCAGAGAGAGAGAGAGAGAGAGAGAGAGAGAGAGCTGCCACTTTTGTCAGTGTTGTGACGTCACGTCAATGGCCTGTTGTGATTGGTCCAGACTTCACACATGATGGTAGCGTAATAAATGCCGTCTTTTACTTTTTTAGAAAAAGGAAACTTTTTCTTCATCATGTATGTATCGGTTCAATTTAATATTCAAAAATAACTTAAGAACATATATGTTGTTCCTGTCCCTTAGGATGGGCCAGAGTTATAACAATTCATCATCATCTGGGGAACAGAAATGTCCAATAGTTGTAGAGATATTCCAGCCTTATGATCATTAGATGGAGGCTTCTAGCCGACATAAACATCAATAAAATGAACATTCAGAGATGAAAGGACTTTTGTGCGGAGGAGCTTTTAGAGTTAAATGCTAACTGTGAGAAGGAGAACGGAGTTTTCCTTCAATGAGCTCCATGATCTCATTGAAGTCCTAACCCAGAGAAGGTGTGTTCAGACAGGCTCAGTATCTCCAGAGATCCTTTATCTGCCACAACAACAGCCGTGTTTCTGCTGCTGTTTGCAGGAACAGAACAGGCAGAGATAGGCATCTGCTGCTGGCTGCTCTGTGGTGAGAGGAGGAGAAACCTAACCCTCATGAGTGGAGGGGCTTTACCACCACTCTGCTCCACTGGGAGCATCGTCTTCCCACTGCTCAGTGAAATGGATAGCTGTGATTACGGCTGGCTGGAGTCTGCCCCTCACCTACCTAGACCGCATCCACCCAGCCCGCAATCCACCAAGCCCGCATCCACATCCACCCAGACCACATCCACCCAGCCCGCAATCCAACCAGCCCGCAGCCCGCATCCACCCAGACCGCATCTACCCAGATCGCATCCATCTCCACCCAGACCGCATCCACCCAGCCCACAATCCACCAAGCCCGCATCCACATCCACCCAGCCCGCATCCACATCCACCCAGACCACATCCACCCGCATCCATCTCCACCCAGACCCCATCCATCCAGACCGCATCCACCCGCATCCATCTCCACCCAGACCCCATCCACCCAGACTACATCCACCCGCATCCACGTCCACCCAGACCCCATACACCTAGACCGCATCCATATCCACCCAGACTGCACCCTGCTCAGACTCCTCACCCTAAATGCATTTTATTTGAGTATGAGAACCCCTCTAACGACTAAGACATAATTCATAACATGCAGTTGATTTGCAGTCTAACAACACTAATAATCAGTTATTTCTTCATAAGCTCTTTATGACAAGTGAAAGTACCCCAAAATATTAACTGAATTTAGGTTTAATAAGATCAGGAATTTGTTTCTGAACGTGATGCTGGTATAAAGCAAGTACACGTTCTGGTGTATGTTTAATATTACTCTCTCAGAATAGTCACTTAAATGCTGTTAATGCACGAGGACCAAAGGAGGAGAATGCTGTGGTGTCTCTTCCTCTTCGCAGCATCACTGAGCCACATGCTGATCAGCATTACTCCCACTGCATGCTCAGATGCTCGGACACATGCAGTGATGCAAGTCAACACGACAGTTGGCCCATCACACTCGTGAAGAACAACAGAGACGGGTGAAAAGTGAACTCATCACTGAGTATCAGCACTGATAACATGAGAATGCCGACAGGTAGAATGACACAACCATGGCCATTTTTCACTAACAACCGAAGAGAGAGGAGGGGAGAAAGTGGTCAGGAGAGGAGGATGGAGGAAAAGGAGAGGAGGGAAGTGGGCAGTCTTTAGGGAGCTGACCTCAGAATAAAGAGGATCTGGGGTCTACCCCCCAGGGTCTGGTAGTGATACGATACCTCTAATTAGACTGCAGACGGAGCACTTTGTCAGGAGGCCATGGGGGGGGGGGACTTTACTCTACTGCCTCAGGACAAATCACACACTATGATTCGATTTGACAACAAGAGACATTGGGCCTCATTCACTATTATGTATATAATATAATATATTGATGTTCTTTCTTTGGCGACCAAAAAAGTGCTGACGCAAATCTACCGTGTGATTCGTGACGTGCACATCAGCCCATTTTGTTTTTATGCAGCTTCTTTTTGTTTTTAAATACTGTTAAAAACTGTTTAAAGCCTTTTTTAAATGTAGTTTCATCCTGAGATGCATTTAGTTCAGGCAGATCTAAATTAGTTTGCAGAGTGAGAACAAAATGAGGTAAATGAGGTAAACAGTCATGAATCCTGGGTTTGTAGTCTTGACTCGGGTTTGCAAGTTAGATCCACATTGACTTGGTTTCCCACAGGACATGAACAGTTGTCTCCTGAGTGACAGTCCTGTTTGTTTAGTCTTTGGGTTAAAATAGCCAACGTTTGTTATGTAACTTACGTATGTGGTGTTAGTTACGTACGCAGGTTACACGACAAAAGCACAGTAAAATAAGACAACATTGTCTTTTGGTTTTAAACAGCAGTCTCATGGGTGAGAGTGTTCGTCTGACTCCCCCATCCTCCCCCAACTAATGCACACATTGTACGACATCACCTGTATTCTCCTTTTGCTCCCGTCGTAATCACTACGGCCACTAGAGGTCAGCGGTGACTTCTTGTATTTGTATATTTTACGAAACACTTGACAGGACTCGGTGGTTTTTAACCATATATTTTAAACCATTTAGGATCATTTGTGAATTTGTTCTACGTTCAACTTCTAAATATCAATACTAATAAATATTAGTGAATGCCACAAAGTCTCAATCACTCATACTGAAGAACAAATCTGCTCATTCAGGCTATTTGGTATTTTTGAGGCAATGTTCAAATATGATGATAGTTAATGTAGGATACGCATAATGACTCATCACATGGGGCTCAGTCTGTCTCCTGGCATCAAGTAGTCTGGACCCACATAGAACATTCTAAACTAGTCCCGTGCTGTTGTTTGAGGTCTCAGGAGTGTCCTTCAACTGACAAAGAATCAGCCTCAGCGAGGGAACACTGAGGCAGCTAAACCGTGATTTTATGCATGAGCTAAATTTGTACCACGCCTGCTCTATAAATAGCAGCGGGCCGTTGTCTGGTGAGGCTTCATGCGGCACAGCGTGCTTAGCAACTAGGCCCCCGTCCATCACCGCCTCCTCCAGACATGTCCTCAGTCCTACAGATGCTCCCTCACACCCTCTGCTTCTCTTTGGGTTTCTCTTCCTCAACAGCTCTGGAAGGAGATGTACCAGCAGCCTTAATTAGTACCACAGAACCCCCCCCAAAAAAAAAACCTTTACTGTAGTCTGCTGTGGTGCTGCTGCAGCAGGAGGACAACAGTAAGGCTCACACACCATCTAGTGGCCAGTCAATGCAACAGCAGAGAGGAGTGATATTAGTCCTTATTAAAGTCTACATATTAATTAAGATGAGTCGCTTTCTTGTGGAATAACTGCAAAAAGGACCCACTGCTGTGGACTCATTTAAGGGTCTTTTTCAGTTTAAAGGAGACTAATGCTGCTCATTGTCAGGTTCTTCTTTGTATTTAGGGTTCTACTAGAACATGTTTTAATGTTCTAAAAACACAATGTTATTTGAATATACCTGTATTCACTCTCTGTCTGAAACGCTCCGTTTTAGCACCCGTCTCTTTAAGCCCCGCCCCCAAAAAGACCAGTCTGCTCTGATTGGTCAGCGTTTCCAGTCTTTCGCATGTCGTCAAAGCTCATACAGTATCCCCCCCAGCCCCCCCCCCCCCCCCCCGTAAGCTGGATGGAACCGGTTGAGCCGAT